TCGTTGAAGCTTTTAAGTAGAATGCAATGAGAGATCAAATTAATTTCCCCCCCCCCCCTTCAGGCCCCGACGCTCTCGAAAAAGAGTCGCACGGGAAAGTTATAGTTTGTACAAACCAATTTATTTTGATGAGACCTTTCATTAGAATACCATGAAGGGTAGAACATGTGTCCCCCCCCCCCTAATTTTGTAAAGTTTAACTTGAGGAAATAATTCGTGGGGGGGCCTCTTAGACAGCGAAATTTGATGGCCGTCTGGCACACCTTCAAGGTATAGGCTACCCTACTGCAAAAAAATTCCAGGACTCTAGGACCATTCCCCTACAAGTAGTTCAAAACGAGTGAAGTGGGTCCGTACAGACGGACGGACAAAACGCAAACAATACCACATTTTTTTAATTCTTAAAAATTGCGCTAAAAACGGAAAAAGTTCAGGATACTATACATAAATTTTTGAAGAACTTCGGGATAATATCTTTAAGCAGTCAATTTTTTAAAACACCAGAAAATCAGAGAAATTTCTATATTATCTTTAAAAACCACAAAGAATTCTTCAAAAAACATATTTTCTCTTTGAATTCTGAGGAACGCCTAAAAATCTCTAAAAAATTTCGGTAAGACTAAATAATTTTGAATCTCTTGACAGAATGTGAGGAGAAAATGTAAAGACTCCCTCATGAGTGGGCGAATCTCTAAAAGAGTGTGTCTAGTATCAGAAAAACCCATTTTGATATTTAATTTTTTCCCTTCTTTGATACATACGAGTAAAAGTTCGCTATCTATCTTCAAGAAGTCACCAAATTTAGTAGAAAACCGCGAAGTATCTCTAAATGGTCTCGCAAGACTAGACTCTCAAAGAATGTCGTCTTCAATAAATATTTTCCCTCTGCTTTCTAAAGCTTTAAAAATCTTTAAAGAAATTCGAAAATTTTTTTAAAGAATTTTCAGAATGTTGGAAGAACTTCTGGAGAATCTTTGTAGAATTCCTCAACAAACATTTCCACAGGCAGCTCTGGAGAACTTTTGCGGAGCAGCGGATCTCTCAAAGAAAACAATAAATTTAGTAAACATTTTATAAAGATATTTGCAAAATATCATGTAACAATCTGCAAAACATCAACCACAAACATCTAAGAAGCATCTCAGAACGGCGATTGAGGACTATTAGACTAATTTCTGAAGAAGAATCTTTAGGGAGGCAAATTTTTGGAAACAGATCAAGAGAATCACAAATATTTTGTGGAATCCTTAAAAATCTCTAAAAAAATGTCTAAAATCTTTGACGGTTATCGTCTCTTTGGTTTAAAGAATGATCTTCGAAGAAATTCTGAAATTTGTTTAAAGAATTTGTGTGTATGCTAAAAGAACGTCTGGAAAATCTTTGAAGAACAACTTTTCAAGCAGTTATGGAGAGCATTTGAGGAGCAGCGGATCTCTAAACAAATCTTTGTAGATTCTTTAAAAATTGCTCAATGATTTTTCAAAAATATTATCTATTGGCATTCGGAAGAACGTTTAAATAATCTTTTAAAAAAATTCATGGAGTTTTTTTAAAGAATATATAATATCTTGAAAGAATATGGAGAATCTCCAAAAATTCCTCAACTACTTCTCAAGAAGCTCTGGAGAACCCTTGAGGAGTTGTAGTGGATCTCTAAACATATATTTGCATAGTCACACCTCCACTTTCGTGTTTTTCCCCATAAAACCACCTTCGGAGGGCAAACGGTAAGAGGTTCGTAGACGTCTCCGCGGCGTAGGGGGCACCGATGATGGGCGCGTCGAACCGTGTAGGGTAGAATTTTTTATCGCCCGTAAGAGGTGACCTGGACGACAAGTTATTCGACTTACGGGTTCGGTACTTTCGGAATCTGTAGCCGTCGGGGTTGGGCACTTTCAGAATATTTTTCGGTCCGTTTCGCCTCCCCCCCCCCTCAGGGAGGTAGAGGGAGGGCGCAAAGGTCGCTTTTTGGGGGTAAACCGGATTTTCCACTAGGACAAATAGAAAAGGGGGTTACGGAAGACGCAGGTGGTGAATTGTACGCGGGACGTCGAAACACTTCGAACGCCGAGGTCACCCCCCCCCGCCCCCCCCGTAGCGTGGTAGGAAGGTCTCCTAGGCCGCGGGGGGGGGGGTGTGAGGAGCTGCGAGTGACCGGTTTTCGCCAATTACTCGAAAACTGGATCTTATATTTAATTAAAGTTTCACCGTCTCGATTAGGTACACGTGGGCACACGTTATCTGTAATTTTTTCATAAAGCTAATTGCACGTTGGGAGGGGGGGGGCGTAAAAGGAACAATACGTTTCGGAAAGGCGAGGGTGGAGATGCGGTTTTTGAAAGTAAAACGTAAAACGTACATAACTTTTACATACGACAACCAATTGGTCTCAGATTTTGCATACGCCTTTAGTGGTGCGAAGTTAAACTTTAATAATAATAACTTTATTGTCCTTACAGAAAATCCAATTACAGGACAAAGTTTAAACAAATAAAGTAAGTGGAATAGCGAGTATACATCAAATTTAACTGAAATTACTACACCTACGTTTAATTAACCTTACCATATATGTAACAAAATCATAAATTCGTAATTTAACATTACCTAAAGAGATGTTAAATATATCTCGAATATGGGGGGGCGTAAACTATAAACTTTCCCGTGCGACTCTTTTCGAGATCAGTAAGCGACGGGGCCTGAGGGGGGGGGGGGTTAAAATTAATTTTATCTCTCATTATATTCTAATTAAAGGTCTCAACGAAAGGAATCGTTTTCTACCAACTACTGCCCTTCTTTCTGTTCTCTTATCAAAGTACGGAGTGGTGGGGAGAGGGGGGGGGGGGGGGAACTAGTTTTATCCTTCATGGTACTCTAATGAAAGGTCTCAACAAAAGGAATTAATTTCTACCAACCATAGCCCTCGTCCTCGACCTCTTCGTGATCGAGTGCAAGAAATATATCCATTGGTGATGTCAAAACAAAAGCTATTTCGTTTTAAAAAAATGCTCTTTATCTGCACAAGAGTTGTGCACAATTTATACTTGTTTACATTGGTCTATATCGATCGATCACGTTTTAGAATCGAATTGTCTATAAATGCACGCCCCAAAAATCGCGAAATAAAAACACGCTAGCATAGTCTTAAAATGCCAAGCATTTTTACCAACCTATACGATGAGATTGACTAAAAAAGGGACTATACATTTATTGGTGCTTTTTTGAACCGAATCAAATTTCTCTTCCCTTTTTTCGTACTTTGTACAATTCCAACGTGACCTAAAAACAACCCTAACTACATTCTCACAAGAATTAAGCAAAAAGAAAAAGAAATTCTAAACCGTAAAACAATCTAAAACGGCGGTTGCTAATTAAAAGGCGGTGATAGGCCCTAAGTAGTACCGACACATCCCAGTTTTCTAAAAAAAAACATTATTCAAGTGCATTCGCACCAGACATGTTCAAATTTATGAAAGAAATCCACGACCTGACTTGCGCGGGTCCCCCCACAAACATACAATAGCCACACTTTAGTTCAATTTAGATCACATTTCACCAAATTTACGTGTTTTGTTGGCCGCGATAAGGTGTTTTATCAGACGAAATTTCATTAACGCACACGTTTTATTCGCTGATAAGAGATAAGGCGTTTCATGTCGAGAAGAGAGGACGTTTGGCGCGTTCCGTCGTGGCTGGCGAGGTTTTTAAAATTTTGTTAAAGGAGGGGATGATGCTGTAATGGAAGTGGTGGTCCTTTAAATACCGGAATAAAAAAAATGGGGCTGCTGTTTCGCGACGGTTGAAGAGCGTGTACGTTTTTTTTGCGCTAATTTAAGGTCAGTCGGCCCTATTTATCCGCAATTTTTATAATCAAAGTTAACGAAAGTAGTGTTTAACGCACGTTTCCTCGAAGTTGAAAGAGCAAGCAGTTGTAGTACAGCGAGGCCTTCCTTCTTATTAAAAATTAAAAGTTTCCTACCGTCTAAACACCCACCCGAAAATTTGTCATGTTATTCCAATTTTGTTTGCCATCTAATTCTCTGTTATAAAGCAAAGTGGAGTTCAGAAGTTGTCAGTATTTGCACGTAAGTTAAGTGCAAACTTTTTAAGACCAGATTATTTGGTTTATTACGAAAAAAGTGTAAATAATTTAAAAATTGTCGCCCGAATGCGTGCGGGGTAATATGCCCAACCAATGTAATCTTTTGTTTCTTACGGGAATTTTGCTTTATTTGTGCCCAGGATTTATTTCAAGTGTTGATCAAAATTTGCATTCTCAAATTGAGAAATTTTAAGTTAATTTTGGGATTTTTCTTTATAGCAGATGCTGGATGTGTACGAGAATGAGAGATTATAAGTTTCCGATAGGTACAGTCAAAGATTATACTAAAAATTACTAGGAGCACACAATGTGTGTAATATAGCAACAAATAGCAGGATTTCGTCACACATTTTTTTTGTAATTTGCAATGAAAATAATCGATGACTTTAGCACAGAAAAATGCGTTCTGCTTATTTAAAGTAGCAACTTTGAAGACACATAAGTGAAAAAGATAATTAATCATGCAACTTTTAGACTTAGGGCCCTTTAATTGCAAGTACTCCGAAAAGAGCAAACACACAAATCACTTTTGCGGCATCATTTTTTTTCTTTTTTACAAGCGAGGGGTTAGTTTTGTAGTTCGCAGTATGCTGTTGGAAGTAACTTATTTTCGGCGGTCGCGGGACACGATGATAAATGCAATAACCCCCATGCGGTCTTTGGTTATATAAAATAAAGCTCATCTTTTTGGGAAGTGCGCACTAAAAAACGGGAAAGCATTACCAGCAGGTCGCATGATCGCGTTAGCCAGGCCTGTCGGAGTACGCCGGAACCGGGAAACAGCGCAGAGGGCGAGATTATGGGGGATTATGCGAAGCGGGAGAGGAGGGTTGAAACTTTTTCGCGATCTAAACTTCGCTAATAACCCTCTCGCGTTTTGAAAAACAAAACAGTAACTCACCTCGAGAGAATTTTTGATACGCATCCGTGGGAGACCCGAAGCTGCCTTGATATATCGCAAGGACGGACGCCGTTGTGTGCGAGCTCGACGATCCTCTGCCTCACGACGTCGGGAAGCGGCCTGCCGTTCACAAAGACGCCCCCCAGTTGATTGACGCCGCCGTGACCTGAAAATAATTTCTTTTGTAAATCACCGTCAATGGATCTATTCCACTTGAAACATTCAAGAACTGTAAGTTGTTACTTTCCCAATGTGCAATTACAGATTTATGAAAAACATTTAGCCATACACTCTGAATTTCAATCAACCCTTTCCGCCGCTTGACCGGATTATAAAAAAGTCGAGCGCGAAAAAATTCATAAATAAGCATCGGACGGTCGGTATTTAAGAATCAATTAATCCCGATCCTTTCACTAATTTCATGAATTTGCAAATGAGTTTCGTGCTGTTTTACAGATGTCGCCCTTTTTTCGCGAGCTCACAACGGATCGTACGTGTGTTTAATTTAACATACGAGCGCGTCTAGAACCGCAAACCGCATCATTTCACACTTGCATATGTAGCACGCGGCGATTGCGGTTTCGCATCGGTCCGCCGTCTTTGATTGGCGAAAAAAGTGGTGTAAATGTTCGAGCTCATTTTGGGGGGTGGCAAAAAAAGAAGAATTTCGATGCCGAAAGTGTCAGCTGCATGCAGATGGGGCAAGGAAGCTTCTACGAAACCTTACATAAAAACCGCATCCGCACTGACCCACAATGTACTGTGTTAAAAAATGTATACAGGGCGTTAGTGTATTGGAGACCAGATCAAGTAAATCAAGGACCAAAAAGTCAACAAAACTTGTTTTTGTTGTGCCATTGTAGACTCCCAACTGCTTTTAAAGGTCCCAAAAGCCTCATAGACCCTAAAGAACCATCCAATCCGAACGGATTGAAAGGGTCCAAAGCTCCTTCGTCTCTAAAAAGATTTTGAATACTAAATTCTAAATTTATGGTCCTGATTTGAGACCTGTATCGGAACAAATCTTCAATTTTGTGTTTTGGAAATTGAGTTTTAGCGTTTTAAGCGCCGGGGAAACAAGAGTTTCAACGTGGGCTTCTGTTCAATCAGAGGTAGAGCCAGCGGTAGATGCTCTAGCTAGTATAACTGTCGCCACTTTGGCGATTTCTTCCCTGAGCTCACGACGTGGGAAGTGGTAATAATTGAGGCGATTCTGTTTCTGCGGAGCTTCCAGGGAAAGAGGACTGTCACGCTATTAAAGCAGTAACAGCTCTAAATGTCAAATGCAGCTTCCGGTAGTCTCCCTCCCTTGCACATCTTGTTCATTACATTTTTCAGCTTCTTCCTGAAGATATCTGTGGCGAAAGAACAAGCGTCTTACTTTATCCCTTCCTACCGCTTTCCCCTTTTTCAATCTCTTTGATTGCTGCTTAGTCCCTTCTCTTGAAATCTCGCTTCTTTTCACCTCTCCTCTTCCTACATCCTCTATCACCTCCTTTTCCTTTCCTTGTAGTACCCTAGTAAAGTGCTTCTTTCAGTCCTCTATTACTCTCCCACTTATTTTTCTATTTTCTGCTGTTCCCCTGATTTGTTCTTCATATTCTTCCGTTTCTCCATCTTTTTTGTTTACATTTTTTTCTGTTTTCACAACTCCTTCTCCTCTACCTGCACCACTCCTTTCTATTATCTCTCTCTTCCTCTTAATTTACTTGTTTCCAAGTGGTTGCCTTTTTAATACTTGCCGTCATATTTTCCCTCCCCTTCTCTTTTCCTTCCTATCACCTTTGCTTTCTCTTCCCCATAACAGTATCTCCCTTCGTATTTGTATCTTTCCCATTTATAATCTTTCTCCCTTCCCTCTTAGACTATTTCTTCCAGTATTTTTTCGTTTACCGACCTCCCTCTTCCTCCCATGGACCTATGTGTATTGCCCGTCCATGTCTCCCTCCATGCGCCCGGTTAAAATTCTCCAACCGCTCTTTAACACTTCTCCCTCTTTGTTTCACTCTTTATCTCTTGATTTTCTATCCTGTGTTTCTCTAACCATTTTTTTTAATTTCGTGTTCTGGCATTTCATTCACCTCCTCCCCCTCTCCAGTCTTTTCGACTATATTTCCTATAGTGGAGTGTCGTTTCTCTAAGTTGAAACAATGCCGACGATGAGGGACCTGTAGTGAAGGAAAATGCTAACGTAATTTCGGCTGTAGTATTGGAAATAGCAGTCGAGACGAAAAATCATTCAAGTTTTACATCGCAGTTCGCAACAGTGTTGCCTCCATCGTGCATGCCGTTACGGCGTTGCCACATAGTCTTGGATTTTGTCATCCAAGACCGGAAGCTTGCTTGATTTTCGGATCTTACGAGTCACAAGACCTCCCCGGATTCTGAATTAGGAATCGAGTACCATTCCATTCCTCTCCTCATCCCTCTCTCCACAAATTATGCATTTCTTTTCTTCTTTTCTCCACTTCTCCTTCCGTCTCTCCTCGTTTCCGCATCAACACCTCGCTACTATCAGGATATTTTTTCTTCCTTCCCTTAGGTATTTCGTTAACCACTCCCTTATCAGATCCCTGTGCCTACTGTTTCCCCGTAAATTTTCACCCTTTGTTGCTGTACTTAGTATATCTATGTCCCCTTTGTAAGATCATCTTCCACCCTTTCCCCTATTTCTCTCCTCCTTTAGACCTCAGCCTCATTCGTATCCATTCCTTTTATAATATTTTTAGCGCATTTTTAAGAATTAAACAAAATGTGCTATTGTTTGCGTTTTGTCCGTCCGTCCGGACCCACTTCTGCCGTTTCGAACTACTCCTAGGGGAATGGTCCTACAGTCCTGGAATTTTTTGCAGTAGGTAGCCTATACCTTGAAGGTGTGCCAGACGGCCATAAAATTTCGCTGTCTAAAAGCCCCCCCCCCCCCCCCCCACACACAAATTATTTCCTGAGATGCTGTTTTTGAAAGTAAAACGTGCATAACTTATAACCAATTGGCCTCAGATTTTGCATACGAATGCCTTTAGTGGTGCCAAGATAAACTTCAGAAGATGGATTGGGGGGGGGGGGGGAGTTAACACATGTTCTACCCTTCATAGTACTAATGAAAGGTCTAATCGAAATAAATTGGTTTGTACAAAGTACAACTTTCCCGTGCAACTCTTTTTCGAGATCAGTGAGCGACGGGGCCTGGGGGGAGGGGTAAAAATTAATTGTATCTCATTGTATTTTAATTAAAGGTCTCAACGAAAGGAACCGTTTTTTTACCAACTACTGCCCTTCATTCTGTCCTCTTATCAAAGTACAAGCTGGAGGGGTGGGGGTGGGGTGGGGAGGGGGGAGGAGTGGAACTAGTTTTATGCTTCATGGTACTCTAATAAAAGGTCTCAACGAAAGGAATTAATTTCTACCAACCATAACCCTCCTCCTCGACCTCTTATCGTGATCGGATTGTCGGAAGAGACTACTCACAAAGGGCGATTGAGGCGTCTGCAAGAAATATATCCATTGGTGATGTCAAAACAAAAGCTATTTCCGTTTAAAAAATTGCACTTTATCTGCACAAGAGTTGTGCACAATCTATACTTGTTTCTTTGTTCCACCGAATTTTATCTTGGTCCCTTTTTTTAATTCTGTTCGAACGCATAAATCGGCACGTAACTGTTCTTTCTTCTCGATTCTAAAGGCCTTAAAAAATCCAAAAAGCAGCAAAGGCAGCAAAAATGGCCTTGAATGCCGTTAGTCTCATAATAGACTGTTAAAAGTTAAAGTTAAAAGTTTCTAGGGAATTCTGTGAGATTTCAGACCACTCTTAAGATCGCTTAAACACTACTAAAGTTTTTCAAGACCAATGAAGACCTTTAATTGTCTTCAAGACTTTTCAAGGTTCGGTTTTCAAGTAGTCCTAAAAGCTAAGAATATTAAAGGTACTTAAAGATCACATGTTACAGGTTCTAAAATTTTCTTGGAGACTTTTGAGAACTCCTTAATATTCCCATATTTTAATAAATTGCTTTGTATGTTCTTAAAGGTTCTTGGAGGCGCATACAAGCCTTGAAAATCCTTAAAAATGGCAGAAGGTCTTAAAACCTCTCGTTTGAAAACGATGATATATCCATAAGGAAGCTTCTGAAAGAGTTTTGTAGACTTTTTAGGGCTCTTGCAAACTATCCTCTAAAAACCCACAGTTCTTAGCGTACTAAAGGTTTCTAAAGGGGCATTTTCTACGTTTTTCAATACTGGAAAAAGCAAAGACAGATTTTGAAGCTCCTAGAAAACCCTTGGCGAGTCTTTAAAATGAAACTAGTGGAAATTGTTAAGAGAGAAACTTTATTTACTAAATATATGCCTGCTTGTTATGTGAACAAGTTGCCTATTTTAAGACACAGGAGTATAAATTATTATTATTAAAGATTAAAAGTTTTCTAAGACTCTTTATAAGACTGTTATACACTTGTAGGATTTTGGAAGGCCTCCCAAAAGCTTTTAGAGGCTGTTACATGCCCTCGGAGACCCGTAACGCATACAAAGATTCTAAAAGGTTATCTAAGATTCGGATATTAAGTACTTTCAAGATTATTAATAGCCCTTGAGGCCCCTTAAAGAACTTCCAAAAGCTGTTGGAAACTCTAGGTTCACTAAAAACTGTGAAACGCTAGGCGCGATAATTTTGGTAACTCATTAAAACTCGTAAATATTCGTAGGGAGCATTATAAAGCTCTTTAATAATATTTAAAGGCCCTTTAAGGTGCTTTTAAGGGCTCTTAAAGGTAACTAAAAACTTTTAAAAGCTCCACTATGTATTTATAAACCCCTAACGCGCACAAAGTTGTAAAGAAGCCTTCAATTTCGGATATTAAGTCCTTTCAAGGTTATTAAAGGCCCTTAAGAACTGCAAAAAGGCTGTTAAAGTTCACTAGTAAAGCTGTGTCGTAAATGTTCCTAGACACAAGGCTCTTAAATGTTGTTACTCAATCTTACAGGTTTTTTTAAACACTTAAAGACGTTTATTGGTGAATAAAAAGGTTCTTAATGGTTTTTCAAGGACTGTACAGGCCCTTTATGCATTTGTAACCTCCTGACGCACGTAAATGGTCTTTCTAAGCTTCTGGTGTTGGTATTAATACTTTCAAGATTGTTATTAAGTCTCTTAAGGGATTTTAAGGGGCA